CCTGATTGCAATTTAGCACCTTCGAAGTTAACCCATGATTAAAAACTGAACCGAATCTCAACGTCTGTTATAACCTCACATATCACTGATAAATTGACATTTGATAACTAATTTTATTGATGTTTTAATCTTGGAAGTCATGTATGTATATTATTTATTTTGTTTAGTAAATAAAACTATTGTCGTGTAAAAATAACCAAAGATTATTTCCTGCGTACTTGCCTTTTTCCGCTGCTTGTTTCCACTCTCTGGTTTGTTTAATTATTATCTAGTGTACTGATGAATACAATTTGCGTAAATATAAATTTTCACTTTCATCGATAAATACCTATTATTATTATTATTAAAGATAATTTCCCAACGGAGCAATTCTTTAACAGAGAAAATATAACAAGTAAATACGCAGATTTTAAAGTACTCAGATTAGACGATATCGAATAGATATTTTGTTTAACTTTGACACCGGAATGAAATAAAAAGAAATGAAAAAAATTACAGACTTAAATATGTATTTTGATCAAAAATTTGACACGTAGGCCCCGAGTTGACAAAATGTGAAGCCCGGTAGCCTCTTTATCTTTATCAAAAATTTTAAGTTATTTAAAGTAGTCGAGTAACACCTCATTTGAAAGCTTTTTCATTTATCTAATAACAGAGGATAACAATTATAATAATAGAATTTTTAATAATAATAGAATTTATTTCTACAGGTAAAACACCCAATTACAGGAAATCAAAGATATTCGTGTTGAAAGAACTTACATAAGAACAATAAAGAAAACTTAAAGATTAAATATTAAGACAAACGCCTAAGAACAAATTAACCTATAACTAAAATATTTAATTTTGAAAAGTAACAATTGCCTGCTCAGAAATAACATTAAAGGAATCTGCAAATAGATCACAATGAAACGCAATATTGTTATAATAGATACACATCAGTGCAATAGGTGATTTTACTAACACGTTAGATTTAGGTTGAGTACAATAAAAGGTTATAAAGAAACTTAGGAACAATTATTATGCGTCTAATAAATAAGGAGTTTAAATTAAATCTATTTAATAAAGTGTTGTGATCAAACCTTCTAGGTGGGTAGGTACTCACCGTCCACAAGAAAAGACAAAAACTTCAAAAATCTACGCTGTACTGATCCCAGGTGCAAAATATGTATATTATAAATTGGAAACCATATAATCGCGGCATATTCTGTTCTAGATCTAACTAGGGTACTAAATAAAAGCAGCAGTAACGAGGAATCTGATAATTCTTTGCAATTCCGGTAAATAAAACCATATGTAGCGTAGGCTTTAGAAATTGTTTCATTAATGAAATGTTGTACAAAATAAAAGTTTTTATCAAACAGAACGCCTGAATCTTTAAATGAATCTACACGTGTTAGATCGACGCCATCAATCTGATAATTAAACTTAATCACATTTGTTTTTCTAGAATATGAAACCACATAACATTTAGACTTATTTAGTGACAGGTTATTGCGACAACACCAATCAAAAATACTATTTAAGTCATGTTGTAAAACAACACAGTCATCAACTGAACACACCTCATGATATATTTTAAGATCATCTGCGTATAATAGTTTGGCACACCATATTGTTTCCACGATAACAAAATGCTAAAAGCAGAAAAAGTGGTGGACCTAAATTTGACCTCTGAGGCACTTCCGATTCCGGGGAAGATGGATCAGAAACATGATTGCGATACCTTACAAATTGTTAGAAGAATAGAATATCTTTATTCTTGCACAAGTACATTATATAAAACAGGGCAAGAAACGTCAAATAAATAAATAACAACAACAATAACATCGTTTACAATTATAAAATTCTTCCAAGTTGTATGGCTCTAGTTGCACTAACATTTTGCACAGTTCCTTTTTGAATATATTCAATTCTTGTGTTTTTTTTTTATTGGGTCAATGAGATGATTATACATTTTAATTGGCGCATAATAACAGTTTTTTTCACTCAGCGTAAGTCTGTGCTTTGGAAGCATCAAATTGTTGTTTCGGGTGTTATAGTTTTGTTGTTTTTTGGAATTTCGAAATCATTTCGATTTTGATACATAAATACTAATAGCGAATAGACGTACTGTCCTGTCACTGTAAGGATATTGTTGTACCAGAAAATTCCCCGACAGACTCCCTGAACTTTAAGTCGAAAATTGTACGTAAAATATTTTTTTGTAAAATAAATATTCTATTGATTTCTGTACTTTGAGCCCAAAATATTATTCCATATCTTAAAAGAGAATGGAAGTAAGCATGATATATCATTTTTTTTTGTCTAAGTATGTTTTTAGTACGCGGAGAGAATAGTGGACTGTATTAAGTTTTTTTGACAAATATTCTACATGATCCTTCCAGCTCAAGGTCGAGTCTGTTTCGATTCCCAAAGATCGGGTAGATTTTGATAACCTCATATCATTGTCACCAACCTGTATTACATTTGGTAGCTCTAAATTTTGCTTAGTCTGGAACGTAACAGCCACAGTTTTGTCTTTGTTTAGTACTAATTTGTTATTATTGAACCAGCTGTTTGTTCGGCACATGAGATCTTCGACTTTTCTTAGCGTTGAAGGGAAATCTTTTCCACAGGCCAACAAATTTGTATCATCCGCAAAGTTTACGACACAGCTGTTACCGTCTTGTACCTTATGCAAATCATTAATATATATTACAAAGAAATAAAGGTCCAATTATACTACCCTGCGGAATTCCCATCACAACTTGCTTTGCTCGAGAAACATGTTTTGTGTTATCTTTTTTTAAAACAACCCTATGATATCTATTGGAAAGATACGACTTGACCCAAGCAAGAGCTGGCCCCCTGACTCCATATTTCTCTAATTTTAAGATAAAAAGGTCGTAATTTAAGCAATCAAACGCCTTCCGTAAGTCAAGAAAAAGTCCTAAGATTATTTCTTTTTTTTTGTAAGCTGTCGATTATTTTCCTCAAAAACTGAAATACCGCAGTATCTGTCGATCTTCCTTCCAGGAAGCCATGTTGTTCGGGGCTAAATAGTTTATTCTTGATAAAGAAATTTTTTATTCTATCATGCATTACTTTAAGGAAAGGAAGGTAGCAAGCTTATTGGCCTGCAGTTGCTAATGAAAGCATGATCTCCTTTTTTGTAGACCGGAATTATTTATTTCGGCTAACTTCAACTTATCAGGAAAGATCCCAAACTTTATAGAGTTATTTATTATACAGGGTTAGTCACGAGAGAATTACTTCTGAAAATTATTTTTACGCAACCCAAAATACTAATACCCTGTACCACTTGATATTATCTAAATTTAAAATGAAATGCCTAATCTATGATTGCCTTGACTTTGGCAGTGTCACTTTGACGTTAATTAATTAAAAAAAATTGTTTTCATCATTGACTCGCCTCTAGAGCCCCATTGGATCGACGACATACAGTCAGATCAATCTGGGCTATACTGAAGCCGTAAGTGCTCTACTAATGTTGTTCGCCGCTAATGTACATGTGTTAATTCACCATGTCTGCGTCACCTAGAGCCTCTTCGAAGTGCAAATCTGCAGCCTCTGGACTTCTTCGGCCATCCATTTACAAAAAAAGCCGTAGCATCCCCCCAAAATGCCCAACATTTTCAACAGATTAGTAGTTAAATTATTTACTTACTTGTTTGAGTTTGTGTTGTAATCTTTGAATAAAATGCCGTAAAAGAAATTTTTAGAAATAATTTTCTCGTGATTAATCGGTTGCAAAAGATCAAGAGGCACACTGACAAATTTATTAGCGGCGCCGGAGGAGATTTCCGACTGGCTGCGGTACCACCATGGACACTCGCGTAACCTCCTTTTCCACAATTGTCAAAATGAGATTGTCAAACTCAAAGCAATCATGGATTAAGCATTTCATTTTAAATTCAGTTAGTATCAAATGGTACATGGTATTCGTATTTTGGGTTGCGTAAAATTAATTTTCAGAAGTAATTCTCTCGTGACTAACCCTGTATATGCCAAGAGAGCGGCAATTTGAAAAGCACAACTTTTAATAATAACGTTTGATACATCATCATAACCACTACTTCTTTTGTTTTTAAGATTATTTATGATAGTAGCGATCTTCTATACAGTGGTAGGATAGACGTACAGAGATTTTTCGTTACAATTAATATCAGAAGGATGATAACTGGAATTAGGATCTAGATTATTTAAAAGGGTTGAAGCTGCATTTGCAAAATAACTCGCCATGTTATTTACTATTTTATCCGGATTGCCTAATAATATTACGTCATTATTGCTATAGTGATTGCCTCGAATTTCATTAACCACGTTCCATACAGATTTGAACTTATTTTCTGCAGTGTCAATTTTTTTTTTGTAGTACTGTTTTTGTGCACATTGCAAAACATTATTGTACTCTTTTTGAACTTTGTTATAAATAGTACTAAAATTAGGGTCACATTCTTTTACTACATACAGTTTGTCAAGTTGTTTTTTAAATTCTTTAACTTTCTTTGTCTGCCTTGTAAGTATGCTTTTAGTAGTGTAAGCAAGGGTGTACAAAAACCAAAGACATGTAATTTCCGTATCAATACACTATGATCGATTGTATCAAAAGCTTTATGGAAATCAGTGTAGACGGTGTCTACTTGTCTCCGATTGTCCAGCACTTCCGCTACGCTTTGACTAAAAGATGAGAGATTAGTGACAGTTGACCTTTTTCTCATGAAACTATGTTGACAAGGAGTAATTAAATTAGCAACATTGAAGTAAATCCTATTAAAAAGAATTGATTTAAATTTTTTTGAAAAGTTACACAAGATGGAAATCGATCTATAGTTCTCAATCATCCTCGTATCACCTTTCTTAAAAACTGGTGTAATGTAAACTTGTTTCCAAAGATGCGGATAGTAAGAGCTATTTATTATTAAATTAAATAATATGTATAAAGGTTTGGTAAGGGCGGATGCACAGTCTTTTAGTAAAAACTTGGAATTCCATCTATGCCTGCTGTCATACTATCTTTAGAGTTTTTAAGAGTTCGTAAAATTTCATCTTCGGTGATGTTGGATACAGAAATAGCTGTATTGTGGAGCGTTGATACGTCATCCATGTTTTGGTATGGATTTGAAGAAAGGTAGACACTATTGAAAAATCAACTAAAGGCATTCACTATTTCATCTGGTGTGGATATTTCACAATTGTTATATCCCATTATTGTGTTACCTTTCCTTTTTTGAATGTATCCTCAGAAATTTTTTGGATTTGTAGGAAGAGAATTTTCTAAAGTGGTAAGATAATTTCTGTAGGAAACATCTATTAAATTATTACATAGTGATCTATAAGGTCGAAAAAGATTGCCAAAACAATTCGAATTTAGCTGCTTGAATTTTTTATGATAGAAAGCTTTGAGCTTTAAGCAGTCGATTATTTGGATATCGAACCAAGGTGGATAACAGTACTGTTTGTTTTGGAAAGTCCGGATTTGAGGAACTGCTTTTTTAAAAATCACATGTAAATTTCCATAGAAAGCTTGGCAAGCCATATCAACGTCCTTGAGTAGTTGAGGTCTTTAGTTTAAATTGTATTATATAATTAGGTCGCACTGTAATGCATAATACAATGAATTTTTGTAATTTCAGTTCTCTATATTTTTTGCAGATTTTGAATATTGTTAAATGTGCTTCATACGAATCTCAAAATGAACAAGCAACAAGTTAACCGGGACCTTCAAAACATTTAAAAATAATTGACAAACGTTGGTAGTTAGGAAGGGAATTTCAGCATAAAAAATTATTACTATAAAATGATCTTGTTGATGGTAATGTAAACATTTTTAGATGCAACAAATTGAAAAGTAGAGGAGAAAAGTGCCTTACCTATTGTTCAAGCTTCCGCTACAGTTGTGATAAAAATACTTTCCATTGCCCTACTCAAACTCACTGAAAATGTTAAAGAAGAGATTGAGAGACTTTTTAATTATGATTCTCGTAATAAACCAAAATATATTCATACTTCTGGAATTGCAGTGTACAGCAACGCGAAGACAGAAGACTTCGAATTTCGTTTTACTTTAGTTTAAGATGGATAGATGGAAACATTTTCAAAGAAAATTTATCGCCAACTATGTTAATTGCCGCTGCATTAACCAGTACGTATTCATCAGGAATTCAAGAGAGTTTTTGCACACAATTTAACTGTTATGTGCTCCAGCTTCAGGTAGAGCAGACTCTGCGGAAGCTTTTGGAAGCATTTGGTTATTTTAAAATATAACATGTTTTTCTGCACGGTACGCAATGCTGTCTATTGAAAAATCGGAATGGAAACGTGGAATTTGTGATTGTCCATCATTTTTGAAAAAGAATGTATGTAAACATGTTGTTCGTTTAGGTTAAAATTAGTAACATCCCCGCTAGCCGTGAAAACAGTCCCAACTAGGGAGTAAAGAAAAATGGGTCAACCTGCGAAAGACAAAAAACCTTTATTAATAAAATAAAAACTGTTGTTTTAATTATTATTCTTTAAATAAAAGCATCATCTAGGTACTCTTTTTTATATTATATATATTCTTATTATTAATAAAAAGCGTTATTGAAACAATGAAGAGTGCATAAATTTACTGATTATTCCATATTTTTCTTAAAATTTTATGTTGATTTTTACAAAAAACTGCTTATCTGTTCCTACAATTACTGATATGTACTTTATAGCTACTATTGTTTACTGAATATTCATTAAAATGTACCATCGCCAGTTGGATCAACCAGACATATTCGCATTTCAACCGAACACGTATTGTTTTTACTAAACACGGTGCAATTAAATACTTGCACATTGTACTTGCAACTTTTTATTTTAATATTTATAATTTCTACTGAACAAACTTATTAATGTACATAACAAACTACTTAAGTTACCTAAAAAAATGCATTTTATACTTATTATTTAATTACAAGCTTTTTCAATTTACCCACTGACATACGACATGTGCGGTACTTTATGGTCTAGAAACTTGTTATATAAATTTAGAACTAATATAATAATTTATATAATTGAAATGTTAATTAATGCCCAACTATAAAAGAGTGCGAAACTGGTGAAATGACTCAATCTAAAATCTGAGTCGTGTTATATACTTAGTTTGCATTCAACATGTAAGTTGTTTAAGATATTTTCTTTGTCATTTTTATTGAGACACCACCCATTGATGTTGCTTAAATTTAGTAATAGATATTTATTTTATTAGGAGTTTAAGTGATACTTTATGTGGCGAGTATGGACGATTAAACGCCGAGCGATAGCGAGGCGAATTAAGTTCATACGAGTCACATGAAGTCACTTAAACTCCGAATGAAATACAATATTTTATTTTCAAACGATTAATCTTCTTTTGAAATGATTATTTCCTATCTTCTTGCTTCATTAAGGAATTGCCTTGATTTCACTTACCATGGTTACTATGGTTGACAACCACTATGATTTTCACATATTTATACTCCGACGGAGTATAAATGTTGTATTTATACGCCGGCGGAGTATAAGTAGTAGTTATACGCCGCTCAAACACGGTGTCATAGAAATGACACTTAAACCCGGGTAAGAGCGTCATATAAGTGTCAGTTATATGACGTTTGAAAATAAACGGTTTTTATTTAGAAAATGCTAATTTTCACACTTTTATTTCCTAAAATGCCAAATCTTTGAGAGGGTATGATGACTGATGTATCATATATTTAGTTCTATGTTACTGAATCTAAGTGATTCAGATACATAGTAGAGATATGGATGTACAGACAAATGTTTTTCTTTTTACTTCCCGTGCGTAATCGAAGGAAGTATTGTAATCGAGTCCGTCAGCCGACTCTCTACTTTTACGTTTTCACGACCTTTCATAACCCCTAGAGTACGAAGAAATTGGTCTCCCTTTTCCGTCTGTCTGTCCGTCTGACCTTCTGTCCGGGATTTTTTTAGACAGATAATCTCCGAAAGTACTGAGCCGATTATTCTCAAATTTTGTATCTATGTTAGGAATATCTTGTAGATGGTAAAACGCTAACCAAAATTTGTCTAGTCATCCCCACCAATAATGTGATGACGTCACTTCAAAATTCTACATAGTAAATGGATTTTAAATTGCATAGAATAACATAGTCCTCCGCATGTAGTTTATGACGCCGAATTGAGTTTTTACCAGAAACGTCCAGATTTTTGGAAAAAAATCAAAATTATAAAGAAACATTTTGCAATTTAATGTTGAATATGCAAAACCGAATGTTTTGAAATCTTGCAGATATTTTGTAGTTATGATAAGCAGTGTTGGGGACAGATACTTTTAAAAGTATCTAGATACAGATATAGATATATGGAAGATAAAAGTATCTAGATACAGATTGTTTTCGATTTTTTCGAAATGTATCTAGATACAGATACAAGAAAACAAATACTTTTTGAAGCTATGGCGAATAAAATAACTGAAAACATGTTTATGTATTTTTTTATGTATTGTTTAATGATTTTTTTTTAAATTAACAACATTTCGAACGTATTCTCACCTAAATTATTTCTTCTTGGTGTCAGAATTTGGTTTCCGCTACGAAACACCCGTTCCACAGGTGCAGAAGAAGGGATTGTGGTATTAAATTTAAAAAATAAATATTTTAGTATAGCATAATTATTCAAGACTGAAAAATCTTTTCTTTTTTCCTACAAATAGGTCATGGCTTCTTTGTTTGATGTGTCGCAAATTGTGCAATATTTATTAAGTACGCTTAAAAAGAATATTTTTTTTGTTTTTATTCCCATACTACAGTGTCCAAATTGTGTTTGAGGATATCTAATAATTATCTCCAGCATTAAAATTAATATTTCAAAAGAATACGGGAAATGATTATTCTGTGCTGAAGGTCTGTTGTTCGCAACCTATCATAAATTTTTATTCTTCAATATCGGCTTACGATCTTTTTATGACCATGTCCGGTAATCGAAGAATTGCTGGCAAAATAAGTACAATTTCTTAGAAAGGTATTTAAACCCCTTATAGGATCAAAGGCTGCCTGGCAGGCCGGAATCACCAGACTGCAACTTTAAATTTTCAGATTTTTGTTGAAACTCATTTTGTTTTAATCTCGTTTCACGATTTCTGAGAATATATCACGATAAATTATTCTACCGAGGGTTGTAAAAATATTAATTTTATTGCCCAAGATATTTAGACTTAAACATGATCAGCACATTCTAGGGCAAAACGGACCTGCCAAGCCCGCCTCGCGTTAGGTCCAAGAATGAAAAAGTGAAGAAATGACACATGTGGCAACTAGAAAAGATACTACATTTCTCTGAAAAATAAAGGTATAAAACAGTAACAAATATGCGATTTATGCGAGAGAAATGTATGTATTGAACATTCGATTAGTCGATTACAGAACTAATTTGTGTTAATTAAAAAAATTAATCATTATGTAATACGCAATTATTATTTTCTAAAAATAATAATATACTTTAAATAAATCTTTTTCCTATTAAAATTACTCTTCTTTAATAATAACTAGACAGCGGATTTCTGTCGGGCTACGTCACGATTATAGGTGGGGACGCGCTGGATCGCCGGGACTCAGTAGCGGGTGATAGATAATCACTGAATTTAATCGTCACTTATTTCATAAATACAATTAACGATTTATTAATCAAACGGCTAAGTAAATGAGAACGGGAATTAACAGCAGAGTGCAACGAAGCAGCGTTATTCTAGTCTCAAATAAACGAAGTGCAGCCCGTAACTGCAATGAATTCCCATCCCGTACGAGCCGTACTGAGTTTTTGGCCTTGCCTAGCCCGACAGAAATCCGCTCTCTATTAATAACACAAATACAACCAGCGGGCCTACCGGACCAGGGTTGCTCAGGTACACAGATAAAATGCATTGCCCCGATAAGGGTAAAACGCAGTGAATAGTGAATTGTGGTTTATGGTTTTTAAAATACCATCTTACCATGGCTTAGATTTATTACCCCTCAGGATTATATTTAAAGATGTATAAGTACTGAAGGCTACAATGTAGGAAATGATGGTATTTAAAATATGAAAATTTCCGTGACAGAACACTATTAGTGGACCTCTTATCTCCATTTTTGTTTATGTAACCAAAATCACCAACATGAAGTATCAAAAATTACTACTAGTATAACTCAACTAATAACTACTGAAAAAAAATTGAAATAAAAAATGTATCTGTATCGGCGCCATTAATTTTGTATCTAGATACAGATATTTTATGCTTAAATTCGATTGTATCTAGATAGAGATACTAGATACCTAAAAATGTATATAGATACTTTATTTATATATAAGTATCTAGATATTGCGCAACACTGATGATAAGCATGATAAATTTTTCATCAAAATATATTTACTTATTTCCTCCAAAAAATTGATGACGTAAGCTCAAAATTTTGCCGAATAAATCCTATCTAAAATGTATAAAATATGATGAGTCTGTACTTGTGATTTATCATTCCATTAAGATTTTTTGGATTTGCTTATACAGGGTGACTCAAAAAAAATTAATGATTGCTTGAATTTATTTTATTGATTTAATCAGCAACTACAAAATCGAATACTTTGAAATCTTGGAGATTTTTTTAGGTTATCATAAGCATGGTAAATTTTTGATCAAAATGTATTGGCTAATCCCTCTAAAAAATGGATGACGTCACCTCAAAATTTTATTGAATAAATCTTAGTCTATTACTTAAATGTCCAAAATGTGATGAATCTATACAAATTTGCTGTCCCAAAAAATTATTGACTTAGTCAATTTATTTTATTCATTAAATCAAGAATTGCAAAACTGAAAACTTTTACAGACGTTTTGAAGTTATTGTAAGCATGGTAAATTTTAAATCAAAATGGATAATTTCCCCAGTTCTAATTCGGTTTTATGATAGTACTCCATTGTGTAAAAGTTAACTTCCTTAAAAACAGAGTACTACTGCCGGTAATGGGACAGTCATAAATAAGGATTTAACCATGCCTTTACCATTATTCACAATAATGGTTAAATCCACTCAGGATATAACCGTCCGTTCGGTTTTATGATAGTACCCCATTGTGTAAAAGTTAACTTCCTTAACAATAGAGTACTACTGCCTTTTCGCATGCATGTCATAAATAGGACTCCATATTATTGTAGCATATTTTAATCGCTATCTTTCTAGTGAGCATTAAAGTATTTTTATTGCTGAGAGGTTTTCGATTTCTCTACAGTTTCTAATTATACGTTATACTTATAAGCTGATATGGTGCTACAAGCCTAAGCTTTATGTCGAAAGTAATACTTAAATCACGAACTACATGTTTCCTCTCAATGATAGTATTACTTGAGTAATAATCAAACTTTATATCCTTTTATTCTTCCTGGAAAAAGACATAATCGTGCATTTTTTGGAATTGAAAGGTAACCAGTTAACGGAACACCATCTAACAATTTTATCGAAGTTACTCTACAGCCTTCTGCAATCAGTGGGATCTTTGACTTCTGTAAAAATGTTCACTTCATCTGCAAAGTCACGTTTATGACGTCCTCCTAACAATATTTTTGTTGATCAAATTAAGAACGAGTCACCACATTTCTTCGAAAAGTTCAGAATACGCACGTCTTTATTTAGTAACAATTATAATAATAATGTTCAGGACATTTTCTTTGACTGTAGCTTATTTAATAATATTTGTCTTCTACTCTGAGGTAACAAACTCATTCAAATTAAACAAATTTCTACGTGACATTCTTCCAATGTATAAACAAATATTTGAAATTAACGATTGATATTATTGCTTAGATACCATTTTTTCCGTCCGTTATCTGCTTAAAATTATGAATATTTTACATTTTCCGTATTTGTGCAATTTTCAAATCCTTTACAATTTGCGCTCCCACGGTGCAGGAATTGCGAGGGTATTATTTATGCCGCTGGTTTTTACTTTATAGAGGTTATCACAAAACAAACATGGGGAAATCTAATTTTTTCTATGACTGCCTCTAAACTCGATAGTTTACACATCGTCGACGATGCGTAAACTTGCTTGTTAAAATTTAGTGATTTGTTTACACACTAAATTGCTGCTACCAATAATAAAAGCAAATGTTAAATATCCCAAGTTTTAGATCAAGTTATTCTATCATTTAATACTGTTCAACATGAAATTTGGACCAAGTTACGTCTACTCTTGATTCAGTATTTACATCAAATTATGGAAAATAAAAGAATCAGTTAAAATCAACGAGTTATTAGCGTAAACGTTGGGCACTGTCATGGAAATAGCTATTGCGAGAATGCTCTGGAAATATTAGCCGTCATAAAACACGAAGTAAATGTCAATTTCAAGTTTGATTCTTTATTTCCCATTTTAGCAAATTTGCATCTTGGGTAAGTAGTAGAAAACCTCGATTTACTCTATTTCATGCGTAATATAAACTATTTTACGAAAAACGCTATGCGGACTTTATGTAGTGTAACTAGTGTATAGCACCATCGCTTTGGTCGATGTAATGTTAAAAGCAACTATGTTAGCAAAAAATGACGTAAATATTGGAACCTTTTCAAAAGTTATAGCATTCCTCAAAAGAAAAAATTGGTCTAAAGAGTTTAGACAGTACTTCCCTCGCTGTCGGAAACGTGACGACTGCATGCCTATTATGTTTTTTTTTCGCAGTGGATTTCAAAGAATTCGGTTTTGTAGTTCCTGAGTAAATCAATAAAATAAATTTACGCTTTCATTAATTTTTTTGAGTCACCCTGTATATGCAAATCCAAAAAATATGAATGTAGTAAAAGATCACAAGTACAGACTCATCATATTTTGTACATTTTAGATATGATTTATTCGGCAAACTTTTGAGCTGACGTCATCAAGTTTTTGGAGGAGATAAGCAAATATATTTTGACTAAACATTTATTATGTCCTTTATAACCTTAAAACATCTGCAAGATTTCAAAGCATTCGGTTTTGTAGTTCCTGATTAAATCAATAAAATAAATTTACCCATTCATTAATTTTTTTGAGTCACCCTGTATATGCTAATCCAAAAAATATTAATGGAGTGATAAATCACAACAGACTCATCATATTTTGCACAGTTTAGATAGGATTTATTCAACAAACTTTCGAGCTGACGTCATCAATTTTTTGGAGGGGATAAGCAAATATATTTTGACTAAACATTTATTATGCTCTTTATAACCTTAAAACATTTGCAAGATTTCAAAGCATTCGGTTTTGTAGTTCCTGAGTAAATCAGTAAAATAAATTTACGCATTAATTAATTTTTTGAGTCACCCTGTATATGCAAATCCAAAAAATATGAATGGAGTGATAGATCACAAGTACAGACTCATCAAATTTTGTACATTTTAGATATGATTTATTCGGCAAATTTTTGAGGTGACGTCATCAAGTTTTTGGAGGGGATAACCAAATATATTTTGACTAAAGATTTATGATGCTCTTTATAGCCTTTAAACATCTGCAACATTTCAAAGCATTCGGATTAGCAGATTCAAAATTAAATTTCAAAATGTTGTTTTATAATTTTGATTTTTTTTCCAAAAATCTGGACGTTTCGGGTGAAAACTCAATTCGGAATTGTAAACTACATGTATAGGACTATGTTATTTTATACAATTTAAAACCCATTTACTATGTACAATTTTGAAGTGACGTCCTCGCATTAGTGGTGGGGATGATTAGACAAATTTTGGTTAGCGTTTTACCATCTACATGATATTCCTAATATAAGTACAAAATTTCATAACAATCGGTCCAGTACTTTCGGAGATTATCTGTCTAATAAAAATCCGGGACGGCAGACAGACGGACAGACGGACAGATGGACAGACGGACAGACGGACAGACGGACAGACGGACAGACGGACAGACGGACAGACGGACAGACGGACAGACGGACAGACGGACAAACGGACAGACAGACGGAAATGGGAGACCTATTTCTTCGTCTTCTAGGGGTTATGAAAGATCGAGAAAACGTAAAAGTAGAGAGTCGGCCGACGGACTCGATTACAATACTTCCTTTGCTTACGCTCGGGAAGTAAAAAGGTTGGATATCAACCCAAAAAGTTTTAAATACTAAATTCTGAAACAAGCCCCAAACGAACAATTTCTTATGATAAAAGTAAATATTTGATACAAAATTCTCTTTTCACATTATCACAAAACATAATTTGGCATTTTCTGGGCCTGCCGACGTCAAGAGCATTATAATCTCGCACCACAAGACATCACTGAAATCCATGATTCTCTTGTTATAAAAATCCCAGATACCAAAACCCATAGGCCCAGGACGTGTACTGTAATTAATCCAGATCTAAACACTGATTATTTATTTGACTTTTTATGAAAAATATTCCGCTTTGCGTGCAAACAAACCTGTAGGAGAAAAAAGATGTTTTTTAAAATATCAGAATGGACGCTGTGTTAATCAGGTTGTAGGGATAACTCCACTCGGAAGTTTACCAAAAATCATAGCCTGCTACCTTTCTGAATTTGGAGAGCCCTCAACTATACACAGGCCACTGCTTTCGGCGTTCATCTATAACACTATTAGCTAATCAAGGGGCATATCTTATGGGAATTAAACGCCATGGAGGAAGGAAATCCTTTAATGTAGCAGAAGGCTACATTGATGATTCAATTTCAAACAAAATGAACACTATAAGAAAAATTTTGACAGATCCTAAACCAGGTACTAGCACTAGTGCTTCGAGTGGATTTGAGAATATTCAACAACATGTTATTGAACACTTAGAGGAAAATGTTATGTCAGTTATGCAGCCGCTAGAATCAAAATTTAACTTTAGCAATTGTACCATTGGTACTATTAATTATAATATAATAGAAAAACAATAATTTGACAATTGTAATGTCGTCGTTATTTATTTAATAAATAAGTCTCCATTTTAAAATATATTAAAATTTAACTTGGGATTATTATTATTATTGATTGAAGCCGCAGAAAAAAATTTGTATGCATTAAGTGTGTAAACTAGCTTTACGACATTCGTCCAGCAACACTTGGTCTCATGTCGTAAAGCTAAAGTTTACACACTAAATACATAAGTAACTATTATAACTTTTCAGAGAAGTACTTAAGATATGAGGGAAGTTTTTTATATTCGTATCCAATAGAATATACAATACGGTGCAATGTATGTCATCCTATCTCCATGATACTCAAAACCTCAATTTTGATTAAGTTCAAGATATAAATTTTTCGAAATTTTTAAGATACTTGTTTAATTTACGGAAAAGATATCTGAAATTTTGACAGAAATATTTGTGATAGATCACATTGGATGGTATGTGTGGAGTTTATCACACAATTGTATTATAGCTCTTCTCATCTCAGCACACAGAACTACTTGTTTTTTCTTTTGCTTTTAACTTGAATATTTTGACAAACTAATCTAACATGACACTTCGTATTGTGTGCAAAAAATAGTGAAATTAGACAAGTCTGAATGTGAATATTGCAAAAATTTACAATCAACAGGTGTTGTTTCAAAAGAGATGACAAAGACTATAAATATTCTCATAATTGTCAGAAATTTCACTTTCGAAGTAAACTTTTTAAGGAATTCAGGCAAGGATTCTATTGCGATTTCTGGTATTTCTGGCCGCTATCCTAGTTGCGGCAATATCGAAGAACTACAAAAAGCTCTTTTCGCTGGACAAGATTTAGTGACAGATAATCACAGTCGCTGGTCTTTTGAATCTTTAGGAACATCGCCCCGGCTAGGCTTAGTCAAAGATTTTGAACACTTTGACGCCGATTTCTTTGGAATGAATCCAAAAGAAGCAGATATTAATGATCCACGATTACGAAAACTTGTAGAAGTAACTTTCGAAGCTTTGATGGACGCTGGTTTAAATCCACAAGAACTACGAGGCTCAAATACGGGAGTTTTCTTAGGCATAAGTCAAAATATATACTCGGATCTAGGCTTCAAAGGAGGAATTGTGCAAAGATCTGCAGCAGTTATGGCAAATATGGTATCTTACATGTTCGACTTTAGGGGACCAAGTTACGCTTTGGATACAGCTTGTTCTAGCGGTTTGTATGCCCTCAATCAAGCTGTAGATAATATTTTGTCTGGAAGATGTTCAATGGCGATTGCGTGTGTCGTGAGTCAGTATGACCCAGCCGAAAGCGTAGAGATGTTAAGACTTGGAGTACTGCATTTAGAAGGAGTGTGCAGATCCTTTGATTTAAACAGAAAAGGCTACGTGAAATCGGAAGCTGTTGTAGCTATAGTTTTGCAAAAATGCGAAGAGTGTAAAAGAATTTATGCAACGATTTCTGGTTGTGGTACCAATGTTAATGGTTTCACAAAGGAAGGACTTAACCATCCTTCTCGACAAGCGATTAAAGCTATGTTTGAGGCTGTCTTCAACAGGTTTAACATTGATCCATTAGCTGTGAATTATGTAGAAGCTCATGGTACTGGAACTACAGTAGGTGATTTAGAAGAAGCGGAAACTATTGATGAATATCTGTGCCAAAATCGGAGCCGCAATTTTCCATTGCTCATTGGTTCTGTCAAGAGTAACCTAGGCCACAGCGAAACTGCTTCGAGTTTAGTATCTATATCGAAAGTTATAATTGCTATTCATAAAGGGATCATTCCTGGGAATTTGCATTATAAGAATCGAGATCCTAAAATTAAAGGGATACATGAAGGACGCTTGAAGGTGGGTTTTTTAAGATAGGCATGCTATGCGCGTTTGTTTTTGTCACACAATAAAATTAAGGTTATTTAGGATAGAATTTCACGTTCAATGACATTTTCTAATTATGTAGGTAATGGACCATCATGCACCCATACCTCAAGGTCTGATAATGGTAAACGCCTTCGGATTTGGAGGGGCAAATGGAACTGTCGTGTTGAAACCATACCCTGAAAAAAGAAAAGTTGTCAATAGTTTGTGCTACCGTCTAGTGAACGTTTCAGGAAGAACTGAGGAAGGAGTTAAACTGATGTTAGAAAAAACAATTGAAAATAAAGCGAATGCAGAATTTTTGGCTTTAATAGATAATATATACAGCAGAACCATTGATGCCGACATTTATCGAGGTTACGCTATTCTGTCAGATGAAAGTCATCATCATGTACAGCAATGTTTATCAAAGACACGCCCTATTTGGTACGTATATTCTGGAATTGGTTCTCAGTGGCTTTATATGGGTAGAGATTTGATGAAAATTGAGGTGTTCCGAAACACAATGCAAAAATGTTCTGGTGCGGTCCGACAGTATGGAGTTGATTTAGAAAATGTTATTGACAATGGAGATGAAAAAACGTTTAAGAACCTTATTAACACGTTCACTGCTATTACCGCAGTATCCGTATGCTTAACTGATGTACTAACAGCGTTAAATATTGAACCTGATGGCATTATAGGTCATTCTTTGGGTGAAGTTGGTAAGTCTTCGATAAAAATATCCCTGTTGCCGTTAAAATCTTAAATTTAGCTTGTGCTTACGCCGACGGTTTGATAACAGCTGAACAAGCAACGCTGATTGCATATGCTCGTGGTTATGCTATGGTAAATTCAAATCTAGAGCCTGGTTTAATGGCAGCAGTTGGACTTTCCTCTGAAGAGTGTTTAAAACTTCTGCCCAACAATGTTTATATTGCTTGTGATAATTCAGACGAATCAGTCACTATCGCTGGGGCCGTCCAACCGGTTAAAGATTTCTTAGAGATTCTTACTGCAAAACGAGTTTTTAATAAAGTTGTAGAGACAGCTGGAGGTGCTTTCCACTGTCCTCATATGGCTTCAGCAGGCCCAAAAATGTACAATTTTGTCAAAAGTGTGTTACCTGGAAAGAAAGAAAGAACAAAACGTTGGTTACCATCGGCACTGTCAGAAAGTGAATGGGATAGTGAATTGGGCAGATATAATTCTGCAGAGTATCAGCATCACAATTATATCAACAGAGTTTATTTCAGGCAGCTGCTGAAGCATATTCCTGAAGATGCCATTTTAATTGAGGTAGCTCCTAAAGGACTACTTCAAGCTATATTGAAAAGAGGGCTCGATAAAAGCGTAACATTGTTACCACTAGCTAAGCCTGGAGTTAATAACCTGGACTTTTTCTATTCAAGTATAGGCGAACTGTATATCAATGGTGGACAGCCAAATTTACGAAAGTATTACAATTTCGTGAATTTTCCTGTTAGTATCGATACTCCGACGATTTCTAATTTGATCAGATGGGACCACAGGAATATTTGGGATGTGCCTAAATACAATGATGAAAGTTCATTTGGCTACCTGTTTGAAATTGATATGACCGATAAAAAAAATAAATTTTTAGAAGGGCACGTAATTGATGGAAATGTTATTTTCCCCACAATAGGTTATGTAGTAAGTTATCTTCATTTTTGCATTAACTATGTGAAATTGAAAATATGCTGTTACAGACATTGGTGTAGGAAGCTTTTGCTAAAATGATGGGAAAACATCACACAAAGCTACCCGTGGTTTTCGAAAACGTAACAATCATGGGACCCATTCTTTTACCAAAAAAAAGTAATGCAGTTTTGAATGTCAACATCTTCAAGTCAAGTGGATATTTTGAAATTTGTGAAGTCAAAGAAGGGGTTCCTTTATCAGCAGGGAGAATACATTTCGTGGAAAGAATTGAGGACGAATTTTTAGATTATTCACACCTAACCCCAAATAACAACTCTGGGGCAAAAATAAGCAAAGACGACTTTTACCAGCATATGCATTTAAGGGGATATAGTTACGACGGTTTATTCCTCGGTGTTCAAAATGCCGATCTTGATTCAAACTGCGCTACATTACGATGGTACGATAACTGGACATCCTTTATAGACGTTATGGTACATTATGTGCTGGGCGTAGAAAGAAGTGGGCTGTGTCTACCTATAAAGTTCGATAAAATTATAGTCGATCCGAGAACACATTTAAAGATTGTCGATATGGATGCCGACTTAACTTTAATTTTCAACAAACATGTGAAGGCAGTGAAATGTGGCGGTGTTGAAATGAGGGGGATACAAGGAGTTACTGTTAAGAAACACGAGGCTACTATTTCTCCAATCTTAGGGAAATATATTTTTGTATCAGAGATCGACACTCAGAAAAATCTTGATCCATTCTTCCATAGTCTTAACATAGCACACCAAATCGTTGTCGAAAATTGTACGGAAAAATTAGAGATAAAATTTGCCGAACTTGGAGTCGATGCTGCTATACAGCTGCTGATGCAAATTATGGAACGAGTTAGTTTTAAAAGAACAAGTTTCCATAAACTGGATTCGCTTGGCGACGGAAATGAAGACTATTTTGATTTACTTATAGCTCATGCTTTATCAAACGAAGAATTAAAAACAGCTCACAAATTGACCGAAAAAGCGAAATTTGTTCTTGTGAAGGTTCAAAACGGCAACATACCTGATGTTGAAATTGTTTACAAACATATCCACGAAAATGGAAATTTTGTGCTTTTTAGAGCACCCAAAAATATTTGTGAGCAACACGCAGTTATTTTAGCAAATAATCTAAATTTCTTCTGGTTGAAAGAGTTACAACAAGCTATCGAACAATATACATCACCACACTCTCAAATTTATTTAATCAACGAGGATTTCGATTCTGGCATTGTAGGCCTCTTTCAATCAGTTCGGCATGAAAAAGCATGTTCAAATCTGAGAATATTTTTGATGAGAGGTTTTATTAAAAACATGCCATTTTCAGTCAAATCAGAATTTTATCAAAATCAGTTAAGGAAAGATTTAACGATTAATGTTTTTCAAGACGAATCTTGGGGAAACTATCGCTTTCTTCCTCTTGAACAATTTCAGCCAAAATTATTAACGGATGTTTGTCTTGTTAAAGACAATGTGAACTTAAAATGGGTGGAAAAGACTCCCTATTCTACTGACAAAAATATCTGTGTGCACTGTACCAGCATTAATCAGCGAGATTTATTAACGGTCGCAGGTAAAATTGGATCTTATGCAAACTGTGACTTCCTTGGAATTGAGTATTCCGGAACAGATGAAAGTGGGGAAAATATTATGGGATTAGTTACAAGCGGTGCTGCATCTACTACAATAATACCTCATCCTCAGCTGACTTGGAAATTTGATTCAAAATTCTCCTTCGAAGAAGCCGCAACTATTCCTTTAGCATACACCCTCGTGAGTATTAATAACACATACAAAAATCTTAGGTATCTGTAAATAACTTTCTATAGAGCTATTATGGGTTATTTGTCAAAGGTAATCTACAACCTACAGATAGTATTCTTATTCACAACTTTACAAATAGTGTGAGTTTGGCCACACTAGTCTTAACCTCCTTTAAGAATTATGTCACATATGTTGTTATTGATTGTTGTGACAGCCAATATTTGAAAAATAAATTCTCGACGATTCTCAAAGCCAATTTAATCGTACATTCAAGAGACGCACCATTTTTTGAAATTGTAATGAAAAAAACTGGTGGAAGAGGCGTGGACGCTATTATTAATTGTAATTCGGTTGAGTTAATCAAGTTGTCGAAGAAATGCCTCTCAAAGAAAGGACGCTTCATTGAATTTGAGAAAAGTACCACCGAGGCTTTCCTGGATGCAGTTAAAGATGAGAATTACAGTTTGCACAACGTAAAGTTTAGCGATCTACTTACAGAAACGGAAGATGTACTGACATCGATAGCTAATAGTGTTAATAAGTATGTCTCAGAAGGTACTGTAATTCCTCAAGAATATTCCGTTTTCAATAAATGTGACGTTAGTCTTGCTTTCAAATTCTGTGAAGATAGTGGTTACAAAGAAAAATGCATTATCAGAATAAGAGAAAACGAAGGTTTTTTCTACAAGCCAGACAACAGAGTTCTTGCATTTCTGTCTGATACTTCGGACACTACGAGCATGAAAGGAGCAGAATATTTATTAAGATTCGCATCCAACCTCGCTCCTGTTGGAGGTATTTTCAATAGTGGACTACGTCTTATTGACAAACTAATGATGGAGCAAAATCTGGAAACCTTTTCTACAGTGGTCGGGCCAAAATTTTGTAGTGCACACAATATGGATATTTTGTCCCGCAAATATTGTAAACACCTGGAGCATTTCGTCTTATTTTCGTCAATTATTTCAAGCCTTGGAAATGCTTCTCAAACTAGTTATAGCTTTGCTAACAATGCAATGGAACGTCTCTGTGAAAGAAGAAAAGCTGAAGGACTACCTGCTCTGGCTGTGGAATGGGGTCCTATTGGCGATGTTGGTTTTGTTGCTAGGCTTAAAACAAAAGCAAAGGTTTTAGAAGCTCTTCCGCAAAGCATTGCTTCTTGTTTAGAAGTTTTGGATCAATTTATGCAACAAAACGAGCCAGTTGTTTGGACGTTGGTGTATGGTGATGAACGTGATGAAACGAACGGGAAGAAAAGCGTTACCGATTCGGTAGCTAATTTGTTTGGTATTAAAGATGTAGATTCCATTGACGAAGCGAAGACTTTATTAGATCTGGGTATGGATTCATTTTTGGCATTTGAAACAAAACATTTGTTATCTGAAGAATACAATGTCGAGATGGACGTTAATGAAATAAGAAATATAACATGGACTAAGATCAAAAATATGGCGCTGAATATCTGCTCATCTGGACTTCTTAACTGATCAATAAACTTTTTATTAAGTCTTGACTGGCATAGGAATGATGCAACTTGGTAGCATAAATGTTATTCTAATATTAAATAATTTGTCAAATATTGTTCACACAGAATTTAATAAATTTTAAATGTAATTGAAAAGATTGTTTTGTTCAGAATAATCCACGTTGATGTCCAGCCTATAGATTTTCTTCGGTATATAACTTTTTGCCTTTTATGGGACTTTTAGAGTTGTACTTCGTAGTTTGAAGCTTTTTATAAGTCCTATTCCAATAAAGTTGAAACATGTTTTCTAAATATGAGGACAGAGACGAATACACAATTTTTCTTTCGACCCTTTTTTTGACCAAAACCAAAATTGGTTATCTAAGCCATGTCCGACTAGTATAAAGGTTATGGCCTGTCCAAAGGTTCCATACGTCCTGCCATCTATTAATAATTCAAAAACGACAAAAGAATTATTAACACTGAACTCCTTAATTTTGATCTATACTTAGTAAATGCAAATGCAACTCAGCTGAAACTTCCGACTCGCTTCTTACCCAACTACATATCAACATGTTGTCGCACCCACCCCAGTTAAACAGGATGTTTCACAACACTTACAAACATTATTTTAGTCAATATTTCAGATACTGACAAACGGTGAAAGTCAAATTTAATGATATGTTATATAACATAAAATAGTTTATTCGAAATTGTGAGATTTGGTTGTTAATTTCTGAGTATATTACATAGTACATATAAGTTACGAAAGGTGCGACGAAACTCCGGGGGCAGACGCTGACGAGAAACACATCTGGCCGACCTAGGCTATGAGATCACCTTCACGCCACTGGGGTAGTGCCTTCAATCGGGAGCGGCGGTGTTCGGGCGCCAGTTCACGCTCCATGGAGGGAGCACCGGGGTTGCTCTAAAGCCGGAGACACGGATTTCTAAGAAAGAAATAAAACGGCGGAATTTTTGAAAATAAATCGGGTTTTTATTCCCTGCCACCAGCTACACGGCTAAAATAATCTCACCGCTAATCTTAAAAAAAGTTGGTCTAAGGAGTTTAGACCGTAAATACTGGAAATCCCTCGCTTTCAGAACCGTGTCTTCATGTCTGTCATAGATTCTTCTCATTAGAGTTCTGTGATAGGATATTTCAATAAAGTCGCTTTCACACAGGAACTCACGACTCGTTCGTAATTTGAGCAATAATAACTTGATTCATTAATTTTTTTGGGTCACCCTGTATAAACAGATCTAAAAAATATGAATGCAAAGATAAATTACAAGTAGAGTCTGATCATATTTTGCACATTCCCGAAAGGATATTTTCGGCAAAAATCTGAGATGACGTAATCAACTTTTTGGGGTTGATAAACATATACATTTTGTTTAAAATAAAAAGTTAAGATTCTTACAATAACTTCAAAACGTCTGCAAGATTTTAAAGTATTCAGTTTTGCAATTTTTGATTTAATCAATAAGATAAATCGACTCAATCATTATTTTTACTTCCCGAGCGTAAGCAAAGGAAGTATTGTAATCGAGTCCGTCGGCCGACTCTCTACTTTTACGTTTTCTCGATCTTTCATGACCCCTAGAAGACGAAGAAATAGGTCTCCCATTTCCGTCTGTCTGTCCGTCTGTCCGTCTGTCCGTCTGCCCGTCTGTCCGTCTGTTCGTCCGTCTGTCCGTCTGTCTGCCGTCCCGGATTTTTATTAGACAGATAATCTCCGAAAGTACTGGACCGATTGTTGTGAAATTTTGTAGTTTATATTAGGAATATCATGTAGATGGTAAAACGCTAAATTTGTCTAATTATCCCCACCACTAATGTGATGACGTCACTTCAAAATTGTACATAGTAAATGGGTTTTAAATTGTATAAAATAATATAGTCCTAAACATGTAGTTTACGACTCCGAATTGAGTTTTTACCCGAAACGTCCAGATTTTTGGAAAAAAAAATCAAAATTATAAAATAACATTTTGCAATTTAATTTTGAATCTGCTAATCCGAATGTTTTGAAATGTTGCAGATGTTTTAAGGCTATAAAGAGCATCATAAATCTTTACTCAAAATATATTTGGTTATCCCCTCTAAAAACTTGATGACGTCAGCTCAAAAGTTTGCCAAATAAATCCTATGTAAAATGTACAAAATATGATGAGTCTGTGCTTGTGATATATCAGTCCATTCATATTTTTTCGATTTGCATATACAGGGTGACTCAAAAAAATTAATGAATGCGTAAATTTATTTTACTGATTTACTCAGGAACTACAAAACCGAGTGCTTTGAAATTCTATCACTACATTAAAATTGTTTGGATTTGCTTATACGGGGTGTCTAAAAAAAATTGGTCAAAAGAGTTTAGACAGTGCTTCCCTCGCTGTCGGAAACGTGACGACTGCATGTCTATTATGTTTTTTTTCGCAGTAGATTTCATTATTTGTTTTTAATCACCCGGTATATGCAAATTCAAAAAATATGAATGGAATGATAAATTACAAGTACAGACTCAACATATTTTGTATATTCTAGATAGGATTTATTCGGCAAACTTTTGAGCTGACGTCATCAGTTTTTTGTAGATCAGCATCTCAATGTATTTTTACTTCCCGATTGTAGAGAAGTATTGTTTTGTTTTTTCCACATTTTATGACTCCTAAAGTACTGACTGTCGTCAGTAATCTGTGTCGATTTTTATTAGACTGACCATTTCCTTAAAAAAATTTATCCAATCAAATTATTTTGTACGTGACAACTAATAAGAATCGAATTTTAGCTATAACTTTGCAGTAGATTTGACATTTAATAATATGACTAATTTCAAATGTTTATTTACAAAAGGTAGATTTCATTTTAGTGAGGTAGAATTTTTACATAGTATAATTACCGAAACTTCTAACTCTTTGTCTTGTGCACAGGAAGACGATGACCCCCCTTCTGTTTTTTCTATTACACTGAAACTTTTTGCGGCAGTGTTCCATAGAACCTTGACTCTAGTTTCTTTATATCTTATACCATCACATAGCTTCATATTGAAGGTGAAATCTTTTAATATCAGAGGAAGTACTGATGCAGTTATATTTCTTTCAAAAACATACCCTCTTGTACACAAAAATTTTCGAATTGTTTTCATGCAGATTCTTTTGATTTTGTAGTGTAATATGAGTCAAGCTAACTATTTCCATTTGCATTTTTATTTTTCACTGTTTACGAAAATATTTGATTTTTTATAATTTTTGCGTAAATTACGTTAATCACTATTTATCTTATTTATTGTATTTATCTTTCTATTCATTGGAATAGAAAGATAAATACAACATTTTTAAAGGAAATACTCTGCAAAATATCGGCTCGTGCGGATCAAATTGTTTCCTAATTTTCGACGATTTACATGCACTCGGGATATTACAGCTGATTATGGTCAAACCTTGTATTTTCAAATTTTCAAGCCTTAACAACTGCAAATTCACCTATTAGGCACCTATTTTCACTGAATCCTGATACACGAACTAGATGACATATTTTCAAACTTCTAAAAGAGAATTTCAAAACCCTTGGTAGACAGCACTTTCTGTCAAATAGAGTCTTGATTCTTGCATTTCACTACCGGACTACGTAGTTTTAAATAATTCTGTGCTGTAATCATTTAAAATTAACTACGACTATTACGGAAGTAGAAAAAGAATTTAAGGTCTTGGAAAACTTTAGTAGAATTTAGGCTGGTCCTGATGAGTTTCCATAAATTCATCCCTTAAAGAAGTACTTAGATAATAAGGAATGAATTGTATTTTTTCAATTCTTACAAATTTTTGCGTTCAGTAGAGTTATCAACTCGGTATATGCTTATAAAAATTAAACGCATTCAAAAGACTTCAAAGCATTTTAGATTGTTTTTATTTCTGTCCCTAAGAGTATGAAAAGTAGTGAAGTTTTTAAAATTTTCTAATGTTTTAAGTTTGTCTTGAAAGCGTTTTACTGGGCGAAGTCGCAGGAAAAAGGCTAGAAAAATATATACTACTTCGACACTAAAATTTGGGAATAGCAATGCGGTAGCAGGATTAATGAGACTACTTGTACCCCTATTTTTGAAAATGTCATGGAAGCTAGCTTTAATGCACATCAAACTGTCAACTACCTACTAAAGAGAATTTTTGTCTGTCCAAGAAAATACTATAACATAAATTTCGTCCTTCTGTAGTTATTTAGAAAATAATAATAAACACTGCAAACAATCTTGGTTAGAAAAATGTTTTTAATGTCGATAAAACCGAAAGGATTTACCGAAAGGTGGTTTTAATTTATAAATTTTAGGTTACGGAATTTATTTCTCATACAGGTGATAATTTTGAATTATTTAATGAATCACCGGAAATGAAGATAGGATGAGAAGGAGGATTCTAAAATATAATCAAGATAATTGGATCTTAAATTGTTGTAAGTAATTATAATTCATAATCACATTAACATCATGATGTTAAATCGTAAATTTTGTACAGATGATTTAACATCAGAATAATTTTACTAGCAATTAGTTCGTCCGATTCAAAATTTTTATTTAACAAATGAAAACACTAGTAAGATGGTTTATTTTTATTAGGTTACAACAAAACAATCAGTTTTGGGTTATAAACGTTATACGTGAAATGATGGATGTGCCCGAAGTATCACAGCTTAAAGCCAAAATACCAATCTAAAAGTCTAACACTACAAAAACAACAAAAAGAATTTTTTATTGTCACAACAGGTTTAAGATTTAACTGTTTTTTTTTTAAGATTTTTTCGGTACGAAGTGACTACATTTAACATATAAATAGAATTTAAATAGATAAATATCAACGGTATAATTTTTTTTAAACCAGCAAAAAGGCTATTTATCACATTTATGGAAGTAAACACTTGAGAGTGTGTAATTTCTGCACTATGTAAAGGTACGTCTGACTTCGTCGACATACCGTCACAGAATTCGGAAACAGTTGAAATAACAGAGTGGAGCCTATCAAAAAAACAGTTCCAGCCTCTAACTACAGTATACATTACAAAGCTATAATACTACGATTTCTATTGTTTCACAGATTTTGTTGATAGGCTTGTTTTAACAATTAATGTTATGATTATTAAGATGATAAAGAACAACAAACGAGAGGGTTGATTACTTTCGAAGGGTATGCCACATGGCAACGGGTTTTCTTAGGGCAGTTAACATTTGGTTCCAATGATTCAGTGATCTGCCAGTAGCTTGAGCTCCAACTATCACGTGTCCTACTGCGAAGGCTTTTGTTGAAGGATTAGGCGAAGCTTCGGCTACAGTCAGACGTAACTGGATTGTCTGAAAAAAGAACGAAAGCATAATATAATTGTAGTAAAAATTCCCATAAGCAGGCGATGCGTTGTATTTAAATATGTTGATGTCAAAAAAATTAATTATTTATCACTTAAACTTTGTGCCTATTGATGAGTATTAAATTCGTTTAACAGTTGTCGTACAACGAGATCTTTATTTTAAACGCGTTTTTAAATTTAAACTCAACGAGTTGATAAGATACATATGTACAACAGAATTTGTGATAACGTTGCTACCTGCTGTTGAAACGGTGAGGTATGATTTGGAAAAAGTTAAATCGAATCAAATTTAATGAATAATAATAATTTAACAGTTTCCAAGTTGTTATATTATAAATAGGTGAGAGCTGGTCTTCACACTATTTCAAACTTGAAGTTTTGGTTTTTGACATATCGCTCTTTCATTCATCCATCAAACGATTATCTTACTCAGTTGATAGAAAATATGAATTATGAATTTATGTTTGATGCAACACACATCATTTGATGAATTAGAAAGAGGATTTTTAGTGTGATCAGCATAAATTTACCATTAATAAAACAGTTTGGTAGATTTCTGCTTGAGTGCTAGTTGAATGTAATATAATGAGCTTCACACAACGATTTCATGCAGAAAAAATTTGGTCGAAGATTATTTCGACAGAATTTACTAAATACAAGTAAGTTTTTCCATTATCGATTACAAAATTTTGTTGCCATCAGTTTTTGCAAGGACACGTATGTCAATTTCAATATAAATTGCAATAACCGGATTATAGTGCGTGGTCCAGACTTTTTTATTGCTTCGAGTTCCACTTATTAAATAAAATTTTCCACTTTAAAAATTTTAGGGTGTACTTATTTAATTCATATTAGTGATAGCAGATAAATAATTAATTTCTTTCTCTCTGTACGCCTGAATAATAAGTTACTTACGTGTTACTTTCAAGATTAATTTTTCACAACGCGAATATCAACATTACTTGTTTAAGTAAATAAGTATAATAATTATATTATTAAGCTTAAGATCATGATTAATGTGCGTCATTATTGTAGTTCAGAATTCACCCTTTTCCTTTTTTTAAAGTTTAGCTCAGCCTCTAACCAGAACAAACATTGTTGACCCACTTCCATTTTAGGATCTAGCTCTGATACGTTTATTGAATTTGACAGTGAAGGATAAAAAGCATCAATCCGCTTTCTGATACCTATCCACTTAATTAAACCACAATAATTTGATAAACCCTGAAAAACATTCCCCGAAAATCCCGCAAAACGTCAGTTCAAGTATAAATTGCAAAATAATTGAAATGAAGGACCAATTATTACTCGCGCTGATTAAAAATCAATACTCCCAACGTCAACGTACATCAACAGTACACCCACATTTGAAATAATTACCGATAAAGTGTGAGCAGGTACACTAAACATCATTGATTCGTTAAAAATCGGGCTTCTCTCAGCTTTCTTCGTAGAAGTCTTCTTTTTGTGGATTTTCTTGCTTTGTTGCATTAAATATACCTGCGGAAAAAATAAGAATTAAATTTTCACAATAGCAGTGTTGGAAAATGATTATTTTACGAGTATCTATGCGCACGAATGACTAAATTAGAAGTAACGATTTATAAATAGTTCTACTTAAAAAAAGTGCAATATTTACGATTTGTCGTTGGAAAATATTAAATAATAAGGCTCTACAATTTGACGTAAAGTCAAACATGCATGTATACGCCGATGGATAAATGTTCTAATTTCCGTGTAGTTAAATTAATAATAATCGGTTGTTAAAAAGGCCTGAAATAACGTCGAAAATCCAGTGTTGGTGACTAACTTTGTTCATAAGTATTTTTGGTAGATATGCCGGCAGGACTAGAGTAAGCCGTTTCCGTTATTAGAGGTAATTCACTTTAATGTGGCTATGCTTCAGTTTCAGCTATACTAGAAAAATTTGATCAGTGATTATAAAAGTATTGTAAAAGGTCTACATATTCAGAAATTTTTGCTACGGTTAAATATTGAATTCACCCCACTTTTTAACCTTGTTGTCACCCGTTGCAGCGTGAAGGATCTTGGTTGAACGTTTAGATACAAGGTGTAAATAAACTAAATGGACAAAGAACGCATCTGAGAGCGTTCTTCGATACAGAGGTATATCTAGTAACATTTTCTTCTTTATTATCGATGTAGGAGAATAACTGGTATAAAAGTCAAGCGATTTGTGAATTTTGTTTTGTGAACAATGTCTTTACAAATCGTAAAATATACCTTTACTTGGCCGGTGGAAACATTAATAACATAGATATACTATTTTTTTTCTGAAAGGGGTTATGAGGTAAATATTATTATTAAATACAACAACGCAGAACAAAGATTTACATTTGAAATATTATATGTGTACATACAGAGTGAGTAGAATAATAACGCGACGCTGACCAACTTTCAATGCAACACAAAATACATTCATCAGTTATTGCAAGATTCCAAAATAAACATATACGTTTTTATGATAAACGTAAATACTCCTGCTTACGATTTGTCACTGTTTCTGAAAGACGTCAATCAAAATTTCACACAAACGAAATATTAAAAAAAAAAACGTCGAAAGTTGTTTGGCACCTAATTAAGAACAATGAAAGATATCCAGCATTTTCGAGTTGAATTTTTCTTTACACGATTTCGTGATGACGTCATCAACATTTTTGCAAGGACACGTTTATCAACTTTGGTGCAGTGTCATACTAAAAATAACAGTATTGCATTGCAAACATTTTCTGGGAAAATGAAGTTAGCCGTTTCTAATTTAATCAATAAAATAAATTAACTCATTCATTAATTTTTTTGAGCCACCAGTTTAAGCAAATCTAAAAATATGAATGCAAATGTATTTAATTTATTCGGCAAAATTTGGAGAAGATGTAATAATGGGAGGAATGAACAGATATATTTTGATTAACAATTTACCATGTTTACCATAACTTTAAGACGCTGCAACATTTGAAAGTATTAGTTTTGCAATTCTTGATTTATTCAATAAAATAAATTCACTACACATACATGATCGTTTTTCGGGTTGGAACCGTGTTAATTGAGTTTTTGGACTAAACGTTTCGCACGCTTTCGTAAGTGGCATCTTCAGGAGCAGGGTTAAGAATAAGGCAAAAGAGCACGGTAACTCAGTAAGTCAACCATACCAGAGGAAACGTTGAGCCCAAAAACTCAAGTAACACGGTTCCAATCCGGAAAACGATCATGTATTGATTCGACCGTGGAAGCCTCCGAAATTAAATAAATTGACTGATTTATATTTTTTTTGAGTCACCCTGTATAAGCAAATCTAAAAAATATTAATGCAATGATGAATCACAAGTATAGACTCATCATATTTTACACATCGTAAATAGAATTTATTCTGTAAAATTTTGAGTTTTTTTTTTCCAAAAATTTGGACGTTCAACATGAATTCATAAATTACACGCGTGGGACTACATATGTTATTTAATACAATTTAAAACCCATTTATAGGTAGTAGCCCAAAATGTATAAGGTTATATGACCACCATAAAAGTAGTAGACCGCAAATAAATACCCCCTTTGTGTGGTTCACACTAAGCTTACCGGTTGGCAATAAATCGTCTTCTAAACATTTCTTGCTCACATTTAACAGGGCCGGCTTGCAAAGCGACTGGCTATTTCGGACCCCTTTGTGGCTGCAGGTAGTAGTAGTAGGTAGTTAGATATTTAGTGAAAGCCACCCCTGAACGAACCGACAGCAGTCGGTCGAGCTGCAGTGGACACGTTATTTATGACCTTAAAACTTTTTCTATGTATTGTAAACAACTTAATTTCGACACAATGGGATAATTTTATGATGTCCATATAACCTTATACCTTTTGGAATACTTTACTATGTGCAATTTTGGGGTGACGGCATCACATTGTTGGTGAGAATGATTAGACAAAGTTTGGTTAGGGTTCTATCATCTCCATAATATTCATAATATATTATTTTACTTACATAAAATTTGACAAAAATCGGTCCGGTAGTTTTGGAGATTATTTGTCTAACAAAAATTGACACAGATGGTGAACAGACACGCAGACAGACAGACAGACTGAAACGGGAGACCTATTTCTTTGTACAACTAGACAAATTGGGAGAAGATGCTAAACTGATACATGGGGTAATGTTCTACCGATAAATTAGGTATTCCTATAAAGTATCTCCATAGCAAAAGTTTCAGCAGAGGTGGTGGCATTAATGAAAAGTTATTACCAATTTGGTTGGATTTTTTTTTTTCATACATACGTATTAAATGTCAACACATATCACAATATATATGTTGGTAAAACATTTAGAAGACTGCAATAACTTTGATAGAATAGATACTAAATGCACTAAAGAATCTGTAGGTAGAGTGCTTTTCTGTAAGAGGTACATAAGTGGAGTCAGAGTACTGTGCATGGAATTTGGCAGGAATACTATATTCAGCGGCGTATCTTTATATTCAGTTAAGGAACTTGGCAAAAGAACTCGTAACGCTATTGAAAAGTAATCACCAAATGCTGGATTCCGTCAACTTGCAAAGCCGAATCGAATTCATGTACCTCTTGTCGAAAAGAAATGATAACGTTGTAAGAACGTTCTCTACTAGTTCGTATATCTATGGTAATACATTTTTAATAGGAGTATTTCTTTTTTCACATTTAGACTGATTTGGGGAAGGTAATTAGAGCTATTATGAAAAACAAAAATAGTCTATCCGGACTGCTGTTTTAATCATATCGTAAAGCTTGCGATGGTGTACATAGGACTGAAAAAATTAAGTGATCCAATAATGAAATTGCATAAGATTATGATTCTTACTCAGCCAATGAAGATATTAGATACTTAGATATATTAATCTAAAGCGGCTACTGCTAGAATATTAAACTTAAGCTCACTTCCTAAATCAGAACCTAGAATATTTTCAATAAACAGAAAATCAATGCATTTGAAAAGTTTTAATGTAAATCGTAAACAAAAAAAAATTGAAATCAGTTACAAAAAAATAATTCTATCACGCTTATGATACCCGACAAACATCGGTCTGGCTATTTCGGAACCAGAAAATCGGAACTGGTAAGCGTTACCGCCGTATGGAGAATGTGACAGGAGCAGTATGATCTCATCCGGTAAGACATAACTTTACGGGACAAAGAAGCATAAACATAGCCTCTCTTGCTCTATGTCAACATCCATCTTCGCGTAATACAGGTTGTCTTCACAAAGGGGAGTTCTGGCACCGTCTGAATAAAGCCTCCAATTCCTTGTAAACGACCTGCAGAATTTTGTATCTGGTACCTCTAGTACAATTGGTACCATGCCGGTGCGGAAATAGCTTTATGTCTCTCCCTATGAAGAATGAAGATGTTTTAACGGCTCGGGAAAGCGGAAAACTGGTTACCATGTCAGCCCCGGCCGTCCCTCGACTTGTCGGTGCGCCGATGGAGCATTAAATATACGGTTCTTCAAACTGGATAGGCTTCGGCTTTGAAGGTTGTGAGTTAGCATTACGCATATGGGAGGCGAGAGGAGAGTGTAAACTCAAGAGCGCGATGCATTGTACATTTTTCACGGACCAGCTCTAGACAAAATTGGTACGTGGAAATGTAAAAGCGTCTGACCCGATGCGGCGCACTTGTATTCTGGTGAAGTTCTACCTGTAGGTCGAAGAGCTATTCGGGGAGTTTAATGTCTAGAACAAGTTAACCCAGTCGTTGTAGGGTTGTATTCCACCGGGTTACTCGTTTTTTTCACATCCTTTAAAGGGCTTGCAGATCGAAATTTATTTCGCATCTAGCAAGTTGCCAACCTCATCTTCTATGGTACAGACTGAATAGCGAGCGAAAAAGTTACTCTGGGGCTACGTGGGCTCAGAGGCTCTGCAGGGAATTAAATCCTTAGAGCGAGGACAGGTGCCTCGCTCGCCAGCAAAGCAAATCAAATAGCACCCATTCCTAGGTATATTTTTCTTCCATAAGAATATGTGTCGCAGTGCTATTGATGCAATTTAAATATTTAGAATAATTAAATAGCTAGCAGCCTTGCCTATAATTTATTTATTATTATAATTTAGCTGTGGATGCATTAATTGGATATGTAGTTAGGTATATCTAATTATTATGTAACTAGATACCCCTAATGTATCTACTAGTCGTCCTGTATAGACTTACTGGTCTGTTGGATTTAAATGAATATATTATTATTAGGTATATCATCATATACAGTCTGATTTCGAAATATGCGTAATAAAGGAAATGGAGAATAGCTCACAATAAGATTATTGCACTGTGTAAATTTCACATTCCTAAGTGGTAGCAATGTCTGGAAAAAATTATTTGAAATTAAATATAAATTGTTATACGCGCCGCTGGTACTGTTTCTTGACCTACATAATTACGACAATTACGAATGGCACAGAGAGCGATTATGCTTAAGAACCAAGAAAATGGTGCAGCGATAAGGAACGTGCAAATAGATGATAAGGGCAGTCATGTATCAGTTGATTGCCGTCGTTTCGTGGGTTCGGTTGTTTTCACCAATTCAGAGCGTGTCGACACGGTAATGCTTTATGGTGTGGCTGATGGAAACGCCAGCTTGGCCTGTGAATTGTGGATCGAACGCTTTCCAAATTGCGCGACTCCGTGTGTGCCAACATTTACGTTAGTGGTACAACATCTCCGAAATCATGGTACGTTTGAGCCTCAAACTCACGATCGTGGCCGTAGTAGGACCGAAAGAATACTGCGAACTGAAAAACAAGTTTTGGAATGCGTCGAAAAAGGGCCCGACATCAGCACTCGCCGATTTGCAGCTGAAGTTTGAGTTCACATCCACACCATGTTCAAAAAGTGCAAGGTTTGAAGCCCACTGATTGTCCACGTTGTGTAATTTACTGCAAATGGTTGTTACCACAGTGTCGTGAATGCCCTAATTTTTTAAAATGCATTCTGTTTATGGATGAAGCAGGATTCAGTCACAATGCTCTTTTCAACAGTCACAACACTCACATTTGGTCCGAGGAAAATCCACACGCTCGTCAAGAAGTACAATTTCAACGACGATTTTCCATGTATGTGTGGGCCGGTATCGGTTGAATGAAACAGTTAGTTTATGGAAACCAACTGTGACCAGAAACTATCGAAGAGCTTCAACAATGAGTGGAAGTGGCAGCCGCTACAGTTCGTGGAACTCCTGGTGTTTTTTTTTTGTTCTAATAAACAATGTGGAGTCGTTGGGGCGAGAACTAAGCATCAGTCGGAATCAAAAGTCGATCACCATGAAGCATTACCAAAAATCGGTCCTTCTCAGGACCATCATTTGTTTCTACAACGAATAATCTTTCGCACTGACCTTTAACGATGTATGAATGAACGATGAGCGAATGATAAGCAGAAAAAGGCGGTTTTACTTTTAATTGGAATTGAAAGTGTTCACATCGTTTTTATTCGAACGTTTTTTCACGCTTAAAAGGTGGATCGACGATGGTTCATGAGGGTTTTGCCCTATTCGATTTTTAATTTGTTTTTCCTATATTTCCACACTATTACGGTACGTGATACCGATTATTGCATAGGTATATTTCGAAATCAGCCTGTATCACCATCGAAAAGTACAAAAATTGGCTACGCGTTTCGCCCACCACTTCGGTATTTGTTTGTGCTTTTCCTTTGTTTGTAGGATGTAAACATTTGTTTGACAATAATTCAAGTTCGATGTCCTCAAGTTTTCTCGAAGGAATTGTTCTGATTATGTCGAAGAAACTAACCAGAAAGAAGTTTCTTGGCTTTAATTATTTTAGAAAAAAAACTTGTATTTTAAACTGGCCACTTCGAAATCAGGAAATGATAGTCAAGTTTTTAGGAAAAAACCAAAAACCAATCAATTTCTGTATCCGTAATCCAACGATATAAGTACGTGCCACAGAAAGAACAGATGTATTTAATCGGCGTTCCGCTCTCCCCCAAAGCGTTGACTTTACTTTGACTTCACTTTGTAATGTAATGTAATGAAATGTGGTCACGTGTGTTCAAAACACAAAAACGAAATTGTACTTACTTTAACAAAAGCATCGCCCGGTGACTCGCTTTGAAACTTCAAGTTTCTCGCTTTCACCACAACGACCGTCAGTCTCTCAGCGGTGGGCAAGTAGCTGAGTGAAAACATTACCTCGCCAAACTCGGTGCCTTTCTGCAATAATTAATTAAATTGGAAATACATTAGAGGGGTGCACTTGATGTATACCTGTCCCGTGTCGGTGAGGGTGACCCATGTGGTGACTGGCTGCCTCAAGCTGATATCTCCCAGACGTATCTCCCCTTCGCCGATCAAGGTGTGCGATAATAAATCGGTGGAATATACATGGAAACAAAGGGATCGCTGCGATTGTTCTCGAGGATTGAGGGAGAAAAGGAAACGTTCTTTGTAGCTAGGGCTGTTTGATCCTCGGTAAACTTTCGTTTGTATTGTCGCTTCTTTGTCGGGAAGCAGGAATACACGAACGTATGAATCTGATACGTTTTCTGTGCGGTTGGGACCGATCAAGTCTTTGGCCTCGAGGACGTTCACCACCAAGTCGCAGCATTCGCTAGACACATTGGAGCATTAATAATTAAAAAAGGTTAAGCTAAAACATGTTACGTGTTTTCCGTAAAAGATAAAAGGCAAGGCGCACTAAATAATTTACAGATAGGTAGTTGTTTGTTTGAGTAAACGACTGAATGCGAAGTCGTTAACATGTCGAGTACATGTAACAAAGAAACAAATTATTATCTGTTAGAATTAACTTTGTTTAAACAAGCACTGCAGTTTCGCGGAAGTACGTACGTACGTTCTGTTCAGATTAGATAATAATTAGCGAAATTAGGTTCCGTACAACGTATTTTACGTTAACGTACACAATAACCAATAGGGACACTGCATTTTCCATAGATATAACAGTTTTTTCTACGTTTTACGTGCTATAGGTACGTTCTACGGAACGTGGTTTCACTTATTGCCTACTATATTCTGCATTGTTATGAACACAGTTAATCTGGATACGTGATACGTTTGACTATTACTAGTACTTATTAGTTTACTTAAAAGTTCTGCCGCAAAAGAGTTTATTGCACACGGCAAATTTTCAATGTTCAACATGACGACTAGGTGTCACTGACAAATAATTGGTCGAAGGTTATTTCGAGAGAATTGCGCTCGCTCCTGTACAGTACATCAAATCCAGCTTTTTTTATAAATGATAAGATTTGATTTTGCGATTTTATTTTTTTGGTGATAACCGTTATAACTCAAAATAAAGATATGTATGTAATGTTAAACTAAAGGTAAAGAAGCGTGCTACGTTTTCGTTTCAGGTGAGTTTTTCCATTATAAAATTTTGTGATGACGTCAACATTTTTTTTTAGATGGAGTGTAACACTAAGTAATATATTCCCAAAATTTGGGGAAACTGGAGTGGGTCATTCTTGACTTACTTAATAAAATAAATTGCCTCATTCAATATTTTCTGTCGGCCGACTCTCTACTTTTACGTTTTCTCGACCTTTCATGACCTCTAGAGTACGAAAAAATAGGTCTCCCGTTTCCATCTGTCTGTCCGTCTGTTCGTCTGTTTGCTGTCCCAATTTTTATTAGACAGATATTCTGGGAAAGTAGATAATGGGCCGATTATTGTCAAATTTTGTATTTATATTAGCAATATCATATAGATAGTAAGACGCTAACCAAAATTTGTCTAATCATCTCCACTAACAATGTGTACTACTTCAAAATTGTACGTAGTAAACGAGTTTAAAATTGTATATAATCGCATTGTCCTACACATGTAGTTTATGACTCCGTGTTGAGTTTTTACCCGAATTACCACTAGTTGTATGTAACTACAAGTTGTAATATATAAACTGCTTTTTTTTTTACTTAAAGCCTTTGAGCTTATTAACTTAGTCAATGATAAAAATGCAACAAAAATTTGGAAAAATAAAAACATATATCCAACCAACAACAAATTGTAACTTAAATTTGATATTGTAAAATATTGTCACAAAAAACTTAAAACAATTTTGATTTTGACTAAAATATTGCCAGGTGACGTTTAATAATGTTCAACGATATCATTTGCGGAGGTAGGTAGTAAGTAAATTTCTCTGCTGTCAGCAACGATTCTGTGTCATTATTCTAACATGAACGTGCGCTTTTCGTGCTACCTTTTAATGAATGTAATCTCACGCACTTTATAATGAGAAATATTACACAAGTTAAGGCAATAAAAGTAAACAAGCGAAACATGAAATTTATAAATAACATTTTTTGCATGGCCGAGTTTATTTTATGTGCTCATAATGATTACGAAATTGTCATTAGATGCCAGCAGAAAACAAAAATGAATGATTTTATAATAATATTAATAATTAATCTAAATTCTCGCTTTTGTTTCACCTGAAGTTTCAAAAGTAAGGTGCCCAGTAGCAGACCGAAAAATGAGCTTAATAGATTTTCATTTTACGGGCGTAATTTCAACTTTGAAAAAAAGATCGACATTTCAATTGATAGATTATGTCTAAATCTCTGGGGAAGACACAATATTTTTTAAAATAAGTGATTGTTTAGTGTTTAATTAATCGTTCATTCTTCGAAGGAATTTGCATTTTTAGACGAGGAGAGAGCATTTTTCGCTTCAACTTTTATATCAGTGCAAAGACAACATTGAGCTCTATGGGGAAGACCCAGTCATTTTTGTTTAAAATTTATATTAATCAAAATATTTGCTTTTTAAAAAAATACTGACTAATGAAAATAACGTGAAACTAGGCAACTCTATTTACAAAGGATTCGTTTCCATAAATGGTTGAGTTTGACACAGCAGGGAGCCTTGCCGACCGACCCTTTCAGGTAATCCGTCCAGATACTTTAGGTCATAAAACTCATAAATACTCTTAGCTTACGAACATTGTTGAAACTCTTTTACAAGTCGACTTCTTTCACTGCTAACATAATTTGAATTAAAAGTATGCAAATTTTTATAATTTTATACATTCTACTAAAACATTTTCTTACAAAAAATTATTCCAGTATTTTTTATTAATCTGTCATTCTATATATAAATCAATAAACAAAACTGACAAGATTTAGATTCTCATCACTTCACTAACCACTTATTTATCTGAAATATCATATTTATTTAAATTTAATTTTTTGATACTCTTTTCCGCACCACTTATGAGGTAGAGTATTATAGGCACGTTTTTTACGTAATATCTCCAGTAAACCTATTCCAGTATTACTATTTATTCCTGTGTGTGTTTATACTAAAAGGGGAAAAGATTTATATGAACTACACATGACGCGAATGCAAATAAAAAATTTTAATTGTACAATCTTTTCTTTACAATTTTTCTAATGGGTTGATTTGTTTAATAACGAACTCTCTCCGGAAGTAAGGCATAAAATAAAATTTTTCTCTCTATCTATTTCGCTCTATCATATTATTTTCCCAAAATTTATCATCTCGTTGAATTAAGCATTATTTAAATTGGACATTTTATATATTTCTAAGATAGCGTTTTTGTTTATTAAGCCGTCTGGCGATGCCACTAAAAATGTACAAACCGCATTGTCTTACTGTCAGTTTGGTGTTACTGCAAAATGCTTCAGTTGCCCTTGCTTCATTTTCTATGCAAAGATTTTGGGAGAGTACATGCTGAACTAGATTTGCAGGGATGTAAAATGTTTTTCACAGTACAGTAGGATTAGCCGTGTTACTTGTTCTCTCATTTTGTAAATTTTACCAAAATAACGTTCGGTTAGTCTAAAGGATTTTTCTGCGCACCATTTTGGATTATTGCGTTCGTCAATTGTGTTTTGTTCGATTAAAAAGACATCAAGGTTTGAAAGTTTTTTGAGAAATACTTTTTGCGCTGTGACATATCAGGTACATATTTCAACTGCCTCGTTAATAGATACATCGTCGCCCGAGAACTTGTATGATCCACAGACCGGAGCGCGCTCAGGCCAATGTCGACTCTATAAACCTCCAGAAATTCTGCGGGAAATAGTTATTACTTAGATGCTTTTGTTTACACACGTCTCACATGTTTCACTCGACTTTGACACTCAACTATTTTTTTGTTTAACTAAGAATTAATACTTTCACTGCGTTTGATACTAACGTCCTAAATTAGCAATACTAGTGGAACAGTAATCAAGCAACAGATTTTTTTGGGAAAGTACAGTTAATTTTTGTGTTTTAGCAGCAATGTGTTCTATTTTCTATTAATTTTTACATATTTTTAGTCACAATTTTGGTAGTTATTTTTTACTTTTATTTTTAGCAATAATAAATAGTCCAAACATGAAAAAATAAAAAAAATTAAAATTGGAAAATCTAAAATTTAGAAATCGAGAAATTGAACAGTCGTATAATTGAAAAATCGAAACATCGAAAAACTGAAAAATCGAAAAATTAAAAAAAAAGGAAAATCAGAAATATAATGAATTCCGAAAATTGAAAAACTGAAATATGCATAGAAGAACTGAAAACTCGAGAAATCGAAAAATCTAGAATTTTAAAAATTGAAAAAAAAATATCGAAAAGTTGAAAAATTGCGAAGTCGTATCAGTGAAACATCGGATAATTGAGAAATCGAAAAATAAAAAAATGGAGAAATCGAAAATTTGAAGAATGTAAAAATTTAAAATGTCAAAAATTAAAATACTGAAAAATTGAAACATCAAAAGTTGAAAAATCGAAAAACCGAAAAGTCGAAAAATCTCAATAATGTATTTATAAACCACAAGTTCAGGATTATGCTACTAAAAAATTGATAACATCATCTCAAAATTTTGCTGAATAAATTCTACTAAAAATGTGCAAAATATGATGAGTTTTTACTTGTAATTTATCATTGCATTCATATTTTTTTAGATTTGGTTATATAGCTAGGTGGCCCAAAAAAAATAATGAATGAGTCAATTTTTTCTATTGATTAAATCAGTCTCGACTCACTCCATTTTCCCAGAAATTTTTGGAATACTGTTATTTTTAGTCTAATCCACATTGATTTACGTGTCCTTGCAAAATGTTGATGATTTCATCACAAAATTGTGTACCTAAAGTAAAAATTTAACTCGAAAATGCTGGATATGTTTCATTGTATTTTAGATGCGAGGGAAGTTCTGTCGAAACAACTTTCCACCAATTTCTCTTGCTGTTATATTTGAACATAAACAGTTTATTTTATATATTTTTAAAACATTATAAAGAAAATAAAAAGTTGGGTTAGACTGAACCTTGTGGGTTTCTCAATCTATTTTCCGCAGCATTTTAAACTTTCAACTCAATTTCTTTCAAAATAGATAGAAATGGATTTCCATGGTTATTTCCCTGTACCCTTCATTTCAAAATAAAAGCTTATCTGGTGTTGTTTATCGATTTGCATGTTATGACGGACTCCCTACAGTGACCATAATCTCTCCTCTCTTGGGTCGCTACCTGCCGTGCATCGGTACTTTGGGTTGCATAGTTACAAACAATAATTCTTCTCACTGAAATCGATTTTGCGGGCGACGACTGGGGACCCTTAAGTAACTTGC